AGAGAGAGGGTGGGGGATGCTAATAGTAACAATAATGTGGATAATATTGAGGAACAATAAATTGCTGTACTCTGGCGCATGTCCTTCAGTCGGAGGTAAGCACAATGCACTTTACACGCAATTATTTCCCCCGGCAGAACAGACTTCAACATCATTTGGGGAGGTAATGAGTTATAATTTTTTCACTTTACTTCTGTGTTCACAGAAACTACTGTGTGGCAATGAGTACAATTTTCTTTTACCTCTATTAGTAACTTGGATATTCGGGATATCTCAAGTTAAACGTCTCGCCACTGTGTCTATCCGCCCAAGAGATGATTTCAACAATTGTATTAGATCTATATTATGTGTTAACTGTTTAAATGAGATTTTACTTGCGTTTTTTTTATATTTGTCTTTCGTTGTTTTTGTTTTTGTTTTTTTGTTCTGTTTTTTGTTAGCCATTTTGTTATTTGCTTGTTTGATTTGGTCTTCTTTTGTTTTGCTGTTGTTTGTTTGTTTTTGGGTTGTATCAAAATGGCTTCTTACATGGTTATTTTATCGTGTATGTCCTGTTTTAAAAGAAAGAGCAACAACGATCTTGTAGCTTCCTAAATTAGCTTTTATTTGTCTTTTCCATTTTACAGTAAAGGCAGAGCAGATATGTGTGAGGGGGACACTGTACAAGTGTGAGCGCCCATGGTGTGAAGCAGGCACTTTTTCCAAGGAGAAATATGGGTACTTGGCCATGCCAAAAGGTCACGAGGAAGTAACGGCGTTCCAGGAAGGGTTAGCAAGTCTGAATCTACATTTCAGGTGAGTATCCTTTCTTTACTTTTCCCTCTATTTTCATGATCATCATATTTCTGTATTCAATGACTTTGAAAAGGAATTGGGTGTCTAAAAAATTAAATTAAAGGGCAATAGCTTGGTCATATTTACACCAATTTCTACAAAGCTGCGAACCCCTAAAAAATCTACCTGTGGGACGTCGAAGTAGATAAAATGAAGAAAATCCGCACACGTGACCGAGTTCTAAGTTTAAAAAAATTTTAACCAAATTTAGGTAAAACGTAAAACTTGGCATCTTAAAAGCATTCAACTACGGAGGCACGACAGGCTTGTTCTGGTGTCAGGACCAAGACGGTAAAACAAGGACCGTCAGTCACAGCAGATGAATATATCTCACCATGCTGAGGAAGTTTAAGAGAAATTTGGAGAAGAAAACATGTTACATGTATACTGTTGAGGAGGACTGATTCCAGAAAGGTCGGGCCAGATCCCACACGTCAAGAGTGACCCTTGTGAGGTTGCAAGAAAGGTTTTGGGAAATGACTTACAAGAGGAAAGCTTACTCATGAATGGTCACAGCATTCCCTGGACTTGAACCTCCTCAAGTCTTTCTTTTGAGTTTTATTTGTGCTGTTGTTATTGTCTTTTTATCGTTTCTTTTGTTTTGTTTTTGTTTTGTTTAGTTTTTTGCTTGTTTGGTTGTTGTTGTTGTTTTTTGGGGGGGAGAGGGGGGGGGGGGGGGGGAGGGTGTCGTAAACTTTCACCCTATTGTCAGCGCTTGGAGAGCGTGAGCCCTCCGTGCAGTGTTACTTTTTTCAAGTCTTCTACCTTTTTACAAAAGGGGTTTCATTAACGAGGAGCGGGGAAAACGGCCTCGTCCCTTGCTGAACCCTAAATACATTTGATAGGCCGTTAGGTTACAATCATTATATAGTTGTAAGCAGAGACAACAGTGGTTGGATAAACGAGGAAACCGCAAAGTTGATCACTCTGTGTTCCTTGCGTGCGGCCACAACGGTTTCAACTGCTTATATTTAGTTATTTTCATTTGCTTTGGGACAGAGTTCGTGGGTGGGGAGAGGGGCTCAAGCCCGTGAGCCCTTCACTATCCACCACCACTGCTATGTACCGAGAGTGAATGGACAGACACTCAAACTCCTCTTATTGAAAAACATGGATGTTTGAGAAAAAGAAAACCCCTAGACTAAGCAGACAGAAGGCAGAAGGAAAATGGAAAAGAATGGTACACATGACGAATATAATATGATGAGGTGAATAAAGAAGAAGGGGATGAATTCACGAAAATTAGCTGGAACAGAAAATATGTGTACAATATCGATTCAATAACAGAAATTTGAGAACATGTCTCAAAATGAAAAAAAAAAGCCAACAAAGATGGAAGAGAAGGTCTTGACAAGTCTAAACATTCCATTCACACATTCGGAATCAAAAACACGCATTCTAACTTTTTTTATGACACTTCTTTTCACAAGAAAAAATGCCACCCTTTTCTCACTGAATTGTTTCGGAATTTCTTGATTGGACTGACTTTGCCATCAAAGCAAATGCCCTGCGCACTTCTGAAAGCAAAACAAATATTCAATGCGTTCCTAAAAGTTCGATCGACCAGAAATCGATATTTTAAACAAAGATGACGCTTCAGCGTGGAAAGAGTGTTAAACAAATGTAGGACTTGTTTTTTACTTTTGATGGTCCTCTGCTTCTTGTTCTAAAAGTGCACCCCCTTCCTCTTCCACCCACTTTTCCCCCAAAATAAGACCAGTTAATTAAATTATTTTGCAAATCAATTTTTTATATAAAAGGCTCGGGCAAGTTAGGATTGAGGTTTTTTTTTCTAAATTAATTGTTGGGAGCTCATTGACAAACGGTACTTCTTTCAATTTGGGGATGCAGCTCACTGTGTTCCCCAGGTTTAGTTTTGGAAACGTGTAAGTATTCCACAGAGACATTTTGAGTTTGAGCCAAACTATGTCTACAACTTGAAACTTTTTATAGCAGGGCCCGAAGAAATCAGACATTTGCTGTCGACTTGAAGTATTTATAGTTGATCGTTTCAACCAAGTATTTATATATATATTACCAATGTATTCTATGACGTTCACGGTAGTTTAGATAATCCATCCGTTTGAGTTACTATACTTTTTGAGAAAGAAAAAATCTCAGTTCCAAAGATCTCGCAGGTTTTTTTTTCCCTCGAGGTTAAAGAACTTAATTTAAGATTAAAGAAGATTTTAAGTACCCATGAAAACCGTCATATGACACTGTTTACACTTGTAACCCCCCCCCCCTCCCCGCGGTGACGTATTGCCCAGATGTCGTTTTGGTGGCGGTGCATATATAACAGGAACCCACATGGACTCATCTTGCTTCATTTTCTTATTGGCTTCTATTTGTTCATCAAGAGACTGGGGTTTTGTTTTCGTTTTTGTTTTTCTTGGGGGGGGGGGGGGGGGGGGGGGGGTTCCCAAAAAAATCTCTCAAAATATCTTCAGAGCAAAACTGACCCCCCCCCCCCCCCCTTTTTTTTTTCTTCACCCCCATTCCTTCCCTCCGCATCATTATTTTACCAGATGGGAAACATCTGAAGCAGCAAGCAGAATGAAAACTAAACCAAAAACTTTAAAAAAAAAAAAAAATATCGTGTATCACAGTGAAAAAGCCATTTGACAGAAAGCTGACACACGCGAGGTGAAGTCGTGTCGCGTATCGAGAGGAAGCGGGCGACAGGCGGGCACGCGCAGTGGAGAAAAGGACTCTAGGGCAATTCCACGTCGCGTTTGGTGTGACGACAGGGTTTCGTTTACTTTGCCCGGAGAACGTTCCAGAGTGCGACCAGAAAGCTTCTTTCCGTGGTTCATTACATACATTTTCGAAAGTCTTTTTTTTTGTTTTTTTGCTTGTTTGTTGTTGGGGTTTTTTTTCACTCATAACTAAGATACCAGTAGTTTGATATGATTACAGGCATTTTGACGTGTCCGAAAGTATTCCTCCCAGTTTATGACCATTTGCTTTAACGATGGTTCGATGCATAACCGTGGATATTTGCATGGATGCTTAGAGTACACATCTATGACTATGGAGTTCAAGTTATAGTAGCCGTCCCGTTTCTCTAGTCCTCGGAAAAATGTAAATCACTAACACTTTCTATCTATCCATACAATTTGTACTATAAATTCTTATTTGAGTAGTGAGGTTGATTTACTTCACTCGGTGTTCGTTTCGGAGAACTTGACAAAGCAATGAAAACAATTTCCATTCGGCACCTATTGTAAATCTAACTCGTCAAATCGATATACATGTATTTAACTTTTCTGAATTGATTGATCCATGTAGGCCTACTGTGAGATTGAAAATCCCAGTTAGAGTTCATTCTTGGATACAAAGAAGCAAAACACAAACATACAAACTTTTTGTTTAAAAAAAAATGAAAAGTCGATTTCTGAAAACTCTGTGTAACATGTGACAGCTCAGGGAATTTGGAGATGATAATACGTATCTCTTATTTTAGTTCCCTACACTGATTTATTGACCACTGATACGTTTTTCCTTTTCATTTCATTTACATTGCTATTTCACAATTTCGCATTTGTTCGGTAAAGACTCAGCTCGAATCATCGACATGATTTTTCGGGGGGGGGTCTGTACTCAATAGACATTTCACATGGTATTCAAATTACATAAACATAAAATTACCCTAATAATAAGTAAATAAATGCTTTTTATTTTCCTGACTAACTAAATCTTTTGGCAGAGTACTCATAAGACATTGCTTTTGAAAAGAATTCCAGGTGTTCCCTATCGCACTGGTATATGGCGCTTAAATGACCAAAATTGTGTCGATAGTGCCGTAAAACATCTACTCAATCAAAGCACTGGTATAGACTAGGCTTTGAATAATCTAATACCTGCTGTACGTTAATTAAGCGCTCTGATTTAAACGTCATTAGTTTGAATATTTCGTTAAGCTTTTGCAGGGAGAGGGGCTGGATGAAGATTCACCTCCGCTGAAAGTAAAAGTGACACGATGGCGTCTACTACACTTTGGATTCTGCTGTTTTTGCTCGCTGGTCAGTAGTCAACCGTCGTGTTTTATTCCTACAGTCTCCGCCTCCTCCCCCTTCTCCTCCTCCCCCTTCTCCTCCTCCTCATCCTCCTGCTGCTCACCACCATCGCCACCATCACCATCACCATCATCATCATCATCATCATCATCATCATCATCATCATCATCATCATCATCAGGTACTCAAAGAGGCAAGTCGTCCCCTTCACGACGGGGAGTACCGTTCCAAACGAAGACAGCCACAACCAATGGGGAAGGTCTGCAGCCGACACCCAAGTCACTGCAAAGAGGCACCTCTACTCGCAAATCGGGGAGAAGACATCAAGAAGATCTGCCATTTGACAACAAGCACGTCCCAGCGTGGTGAAACCGTCCAAGAAATCACACTCTTAGATGACCCCCAAGTGTCGTGGAGTGATTCAGAAAGAAATCAGCTAAAAAAAATATCTCCACACACAAGGAGGAATGGTTACAAGCTTGCAAGGATGTTTCGGAAGCTGCCCAAGAAACAAAGACTGACCAGTGGAAGGAGGTAGTTAATGGCGTGATACATGATGTGGACGAAAGAAAAACTTCGAGTTTCATCAGGTCTTTAAATGGATCACCAGAAACCAACTCTCCCAACGAAGTACTGAAACACAGCGGAAAAAGGATATCAGCAAAGAAGAAAGCTGAGCTTTTTGCCCAGCACTATGCAAAAATCAGTAAGCCTCAATTTACTAAAGAGGAGCGCAGAAGAAACAAACTCCAATTGAAGCGCTTACTGTATGATGATGTGAACAGCAAAGATGAACAACAATCGTACCCAGACTTCATCATGAAAGAGCTGAAGCGTGCCTAACACAAGTGGAGAGAAGAAGTGCTCCAGGACCTGATGATATACCACCATCTTTCATAAAAAGAGCTTGGCCCACTCGCACTGAAAGAATTGCTCAGCATAATGTAATCTGTCAGTTAACCAAGCGGCGTGCTCACAAGGCTGGCGTATGGCACTTATCATTCCTCTCTTGAAAGCTGGCAAGTCACCAAGTGATGTGGCATCCTTTAGACCCATTAGTTTAGCATCCTGTGTCGTGAAAGTTATAGAAAGGATGAATGCTGAAAGAATTTACTACCTGTCAGAGAAGAATGAGTGGATTGCAGATATTCAGGCAGGCTTTCACCAAAGTCATAGCTGCACCGACCAGATCATCAGAATCTGTCAAGGAATTGAGGGTGGTTTTCAACAAAAGCTAACCTTCCATCGAACAGTCCTAGTCCTGCTGTACTACTCCAAAGCATATAAAACGTTTTGGCGTGAAAGACTATGTGTCAATGGCTGACAAGGGAGTTCCGTTGCTTGCAGTCAGATGGATCCATGGTTTCCTGAGAAACAAACAAATCCGTGTTCTCCCGAATGGAGAAACAAGCAAGAGCCAGAATTTCAGGTAAGGGCTTCCGCGAGGACCTGTACTAATGCCTCTGCTGTTTATATTCTTCATAAACAACCTTGCAGAATCCCCCCCCCCCACACCGTGGAATCACAACAACTAAGCTCCGCCAAGCTGATATACTCCATGTTTGCTGATGACTGCACAATATTGGCCAGTGACGCACAGAGAGAAAAGGCAAATGAAGCGACACAGTTGATTGTGGACATGGTTGTGAAATGGAGCAATGATTGGAAACTTACTTTGAATGCAACCAAGAGTAAGGTGTGCTTCTTCTTAACATGGGTGAAGGAGGCAACGTGGCAACCAGTAATTCAGATCGAAGGGAAAAAGATATCATTCAACACCGCTCCACGCTAGCTGGGCGTCTATCTGGACAGACAGCTAACCTCCAACAAGCACATTGAGGAAGTGTCCAAAAGTGCAACCTCAAAAATGAAGATGATCGGTGCTGTCAGCAACTCCAAATGAGGTTGGGGTCGCTCAAGAAGGTATATCAGATGTTTGTGAAAAGCAAGATGGATTATGTTGCCCAAGCGTGGCAGCCTTGGCTGAGTGAGACCAGTGCAAAGGCCTTGAACAGAATACAAAACAAAGCCCTCCGCGTTGTATTAGGTCAGCTGAAAACGACACAAACAGAAGCACTGTGCTGTGAGACCAGAACTGAGCTCTACACAACCTAAACAAAAAGAACATGCCTCAAGTCTGCAGAGATAGCTAAGGGATTGCCAGACAGTCATCCTAGAAACAAAGCCCTTGATCAAGCAGTCAAGCCTAAAACAGCAGGAAAAGTTGGTTTCGGACGGGCATCAACCCAACAGACCCTGAAGCAGAGAATCGATGGCCAATAAATCTGATGAGAGCTTGTCCATGGGAGACCCATGGCGACATCGAAATCCGGACAGAATTGAGAGGAGTGAAGAGCAAAGATGATGATCCTGTAAAGGTGCGTGAAGCTGCAGAGGATGTTATCAAAAAGGTTGGTGCCGATGTGACCATTTTCATTGATAGATCGGCTGTTGCAGGACACCGCGAAGGTGGAGCAGCAGCAGTAGTGATAATGAATGATGTACCACCACGAACAGAAATCATTAGACCTGAAGGTGCATTCCTCACATCATCTTATCACGAGGAATGCCAGTCAATGATGTCTGTTACACAATGGATTGTTGACAATAAAACTGCCACCGTGGGACCAATGTGCTGATCTTGACTGAAAGTCAGTCCCTCTGCAAGAGACTGCTACGCAACAGCTGAGATATAAATTATTTCCCCCGCAAGTTAAGTGAAGCCACAACCACAATAAAGATCTAGTGGATTCTAAGCCATGTTGGAATCGAAGGAAATGAGGGAGCAGACCAAGCTGCCAACGAAGCCATAGAGACTGAAGGAGCCAGACGACCAATAACATACTGGGGAGCCTTTCTAATAATCAAGAGGAAAATCAGAGCTGAGAACCAGCACCAGGAGGGCGTGTATTGTGGGTACTCGAATAAGCTGGAACAATATTATTTGTCACATGTTGCTGGGACCAGGCTGACAAAAAGAAATTTATTTTACCATCTATGAAACTTAAAAACAATGGGTGAAAGGGTATTTGAATACCAAGGCCCCAAGATCTGGAATGTTTTACCAAGTACTTTGAGAGAGATCAAATCTTTTGATTTATTCAAATGTCAGCTGAAGTCGTTTTTGTGTTTGAATTAATAGGATGAATATTTGGAATAATTTTCTTTTGTCAGAACACGACGTTTATGTTACTGTTGTATGTTGTACTATATTGTAAAGCAATCAGAGCCTGTGTGCTTTATTCGAGGTTGAGCGCTATATAATTAATGTCATTTATTATTATTATTATTATTATTATTATTATTATTATTATTATTATTATTATTATTATTATTATTATTATTATTATTATATTGACCATGGAGCCGAAAAAGAGCCTCGCTCTCACTCGAAGATTTCTTCGTGGAGTCCAACAGGCCCATTAATGAAACCAAAAAGATCATCGTCAAAACTGGTTTAATGAAAATTCTTTTACGATAGGGAGGAGGGAACAACTCAACCGATGGCGGCGTGCTTTGGCAGCTTCCACAGTGCTTTGGCAGTATCATTTCCCTGTGCTCCGTTTTGAATGTAGTCCTTCTCTCTGTCGGGTCAAATACATATTTATTGTAGAAATAGACCGCCTTGAAATTGGCAAGTATTGTTTTAAATAAATGGGGGTGCTGTTAGATAGATAGATAGATAGATAGATAGATAGATAGATAGATAGATAGATAGATAGATAGACAGAGGGTACCTAAAAAAGAGGACCCACTTAAAGGACAGGAACTCGGTCATCAGAGCACTGATTTTAATAAAACTTCGTACAAATAAAATTCATGAGAAAATCGTTTTTGTAATGAAGAAGAAAATTCTTCAACGTTGTCGACAAATATCAAGTTTTAAAAATGTCAACCCAAATTGTGTTAAACACAAACTTATTTTTTTTTTAAAAAGTGTTCAGCTACAGGGACGTGATTGACCCGTTCTTGTTTCAGGATAAAGACGGTAAAACAACGACAGTCACATCAGATGGATATTTCACCGTTCTGAGAAAGTTTTGAAGAAGTTTGGGGAGGAGAAGGTGTTACGTTGCAGAGGCCTAGTTCCAGTGGGATGGGGCCACACCCCAAAATGTCTTTGGTTCTAGTATAGTTGCAAGAAATGTTTGGGGAACGCCCCAAAAACAGTAAGTTTACAAATCAATGGTCACCACATTACCCCAAACTTGAGCCCCTTCAATTATTACCTTGGTGAAAAAGGTGTTTTTTGACAGACAGAGTGTACTAAAACAAGCCATAAACGATCGAACAGCTAAAACATAATTTATGTTGAACAGGACACCCAAAGAATCGACTCAAAAAAAAAAAATATCACGGGGTTATTCAACATTTTTGTTTTGAAACTTATATGGAGAAAAATAAATGGTCAAAACCTCTAGATTTAAATAGCCATTACCTTCTGGGGGTTATTTGGCAAAATAAATTTTGTCTAAACATGTATTCAATGTACAAATAGTGACTATTTGAAATAGAACAGCTCGGTTAATTTGTAAGAAACTGCAAAGATTTGCGTTTCACTCAGTTTTGGTTAAGGTTTTTAACACTTTATTTTTTTCAAATTTGGTGGTTCAGTTTTGTTCATATTGACAAGGGTAATGTCCCCCTTTGGTTGAATTTGATCTCTTCAAATTTTCATTGAAATTTGTCTAACTGTGACTGAGTTATTGCCCTTTAAATGGGTTTTTTTTAGACACCCGGAAGACATAGATAGATAGATAGATGGATAGATAGATAGCTGAAGCAAGAGAGAAAGAGAAAAAACAAAAGAGAGAGAGAGAGAGAGAGAGAGAGAGAGAGAGTGAGAGAGAGAGAGAAAGAATGAGAGAGAGAGAGAGAGAGAGAGAGAGAGAGAGAGAGAGAGAGAGAGAGAGAGAGAGAGAGAGAGGGTGGGGGATGCTAATAGTAACAATAATGTGGATAATATTGAGGAACAATAAATTGCTGTACTCTGGCGCATGTCCTTCAGTCGGAGGTAAGCACAATGCACTTTACACGCAATTATTTCCCCCGGCAGAACAGACTTCAACATCATTTGGGGAGGTAAAGAGTTATAATTTTTTCACTTTACTTCTGTGTTCACAGAAACTACTGTGTGGCAATGAGTACAATTTTCTTTTACCTCTATTAGTAACTTGGATATTCGGGATATCTCAAGTTAAACGTCTCGCCACTGTGTCTATCCGCCCAAGAGATGATTTCAACAATTGTATTAGATCTATATTATGTGTTAACTGTTTAAATGAGATTTTACTTGCGTTTTTTTTATATTTGTCTTTCGTTGTTTTTGTTTTTGTTTTTTTGTTTTGTTTTTTGTTAGCCATTTTGTTATTTGCTTGTTTGATTTGGTCTTCTTTTGTTTTGCTGTTGTTTGTTTGTTTTTGGGTTGTATCAAAATGGCTTCTTACATGGTTATTTTATCGTGTATGTCCTGTTTTAAAAGAAAGAGCAACAACGATCTTGTAGCTTCCTAAATTAGCTTTTATCTGTCTTTTCCATTTTACAGTAAAGGCAGAGCAGATATGTGTGAGGTGGACACTGTACAAGTGTGAGCGCCCATGGTGTGAAGCAGGCACTTTTTCCAAGGAGAAATATGGGTACTTGGCCATGCCAAAAGGTCACGAGGAAGTAACGGCGTTCCAGGAAGGGTTAGCAAGTCTGAATCTACATTTCAGGTGAGTATCCTTTCTTTACTTTTCCCTCTATTTTCATGATCATCATATTTCTGTATTCAATGACTTTGAAAAGGAATTGGGTGTCTAAAAAATTAAATTAAAGTGCAATAATTCGGTCATATATCCACCAGTTTCAACAAAGCTGCGAACCCCTAAAAAATCTACCTGTGGGACGTCGAAGTAGATAAAATGAAGAAAATCCGCACACGTGACCGAGTTCTAAGTTTAAAAAAATTTTAACCAAATTTAGGTAAAACGTAAAACTTGGCATCTTAAAAGCATTCAACTACGGAGGCACGACAGGCTTGTTCTGGTGTCAGGACCAAGACGGTAAAACAAGGACCGTCAGTCACAGCAGACGAATATATCTCACCGTGCTGAGGATGTTTAAGAGAAATTTGGAGAAGAAAACATGTTACATGTATACTGTTGAGGAGGACTGGTTCCAGAAAGGTCGGGCCAGATCCCACACGTCAAGAGTGGCCCTTGCAAAGTTGCAAGAATTGTTTTGGGCAACGATTTATAAGCCAAAAGCGTACACATGAATGATCACCGCATTCCCTGGACTTGAACCTCCTCAAGTCTTTCTTTTGAGTTTTATTTGTGCTGTTGTTATTGTCTTTTTATCGTTTCTTTTGTTTTGTTTTTGTTTTGTTTAGTTTTTTGTTTGTTTGGTTGTTGTTGTTGTTTTTTGGGGGGGAGAGGGGGGGGGGGGGATTGGACTGATTGTACAAAAAACCTCCACAAACAATTGAACATTTGAATCTCGATGTTGAACAGCACTGTAAATGGGTCCTCCTTTTTTAGACACGCAGAACCTCAGTCTGGTGTCTGGGACACAGGAATCTGAAGAGTGGAATCTCTAGGGGAGGAATGCGGCTTTCATTTAACATTATTATCAATAAGGGCCCTTTCAGCTTCATCGAGTGTCTGTTTATGTTTTTTCCTTTTTAATTGTTGTTCTTTCAAAGCTAACATATAAAAACTGTTTTCTGAAGTTTACAAATTACGGACTTGGCCGTCCCCCCCCCCCCCCCAAAAAAAAAAGGTCATATTAAGTACAGTGCAAACAGAATGAAGTTTTGATCTTTACAGAACAATTTTGTTTTCAATGGACATGTAACATCCTCCAAAATATGTGTATTCATATTGCTCCCATTGTGCCCCTTTTTCTCGCCCCACTTTACCGAAACTACGAGTACATCTACTTTAATTAATTAAAAGTCATTATCTCGCGCTCAAATCTATCTCTTGAGCGAAGCTTGTGTACAATGCTATACTTTTCGGTAGACTTTCATCGCACCTGGGCCTTGCCAACCCTAACGATCTGGTGTTGCTTGTCTTGTGACTCGTAACTGTAAGGTCGTGGGTTCGAATCCATCCAGGGGCTCGACGTTGCGTCATTGGAAAGGCATTTTACACGAAATTCCCTTTACTTTACCCACGTCGGAATGGCTACCTGGTTATAGACAGCAAAAGATCTTGTCAATTTGTTAGTGTTTGAGCGCTTAATCAGCGGCTTACATAGTATGTTTCCCGGTAAGCTGATAATGTTTTGAGTGTTCAGGAGTCTTTGGGGTAATAATGATATAGATTGTAAAGCGCGTATAGAGCTTGCTGTCGAGCGGGGATATGCGCTATACAAATGTTAATACTACATATATTACTTTCCATCAGCCTTAACTGAACAGCACTGGGCTTTTTAAAGTGCGTTCAATTAGTAAAAAATAGGCCTATCATGAAAGGGCGAAAAACAAACAAAAAGGAGCGCAAGTAAAAAGCCCAATGTTATTTCATGTAGGCTATAGTGTGTTCATTTTCGACCTTCCGCGTTAAAGAAAAAACTGTTGGCTCATTTTATTAATTAGTCAATGGGTTCATGGTTTTGCGTGGCGTTGTTATCACAGGCCACAGACCAAATAAAAAGACTTAGAAAATAATATATAGTTTTAAAAAGTATTTATCCAGCAATTAAAAAAACGTTTCTTTACTTGGGTTTTATATTAAACATTGCCTTTTGGGTGCATACACATGATCACTACAATTAATAATCTGCAGTAGCCTAGCCTGCAAATTGCTCATCTTGTGACAACGACACATTCCTGCCAACACATTTCAGTGTAAGCTAAAAACTAGAAGTATAATACTCTGGACCGAGCATTGCCATGGTTACCGCTCTTTGCTACGAAAACTTCTCAGCGCTGGTGCACACCTTGGGCGCGCAAATGAAGGGCAAAACTCCGGTCTCGCTATAGTCAAATGTGCATGCAATCTTTCCCTCCTTGCCCTTCATTTGGTTCCGAAATAGAGTTAAATGTGCGTTTCATGGAAAACTGGAAGTACATCAGAGCGCGTAGTCTTGGGTATTATAAATCAAGTCTGTGACATAAGACTATACAAACATACATATATATATATATATATATATATATATATATATATATACATATATATATAATTACAAATTATTTACGTTTTTTTTTTGGGGGGGGGGGGGCGGGGAGTGTGAGGGGGATTCTGCCCATGAGTCTTAAAAATAACTTACCTGTGTATTTACAGTGTTCATAGGCGTGCGTTTAAGTGTAGTGTTGATGAAAATATGTGAAGATTTTGATGTATTAGTTCTATGCAATAAATCCCTCATTAGTTCTGATCCTGGGAAGGCCAGCATAAATGAAGCGTGCGAAATATGTATCTTCTGTGTTCTTCATTGAAGTGTCTTTTAAATTTTGTTAGTCATCCAATTTTTAGACCCGCACGCAAAGACGTGAAAAACAGCGATTTATTTTCATCCTGATTTAACCATGGACATAAGAAAGAGAAACAGCTATATAAAGGAATCGTGGATACTAACAATAAACTGTGAAAAAAATATATCATTCTCACTGCACTATTTTTTTTTTTTTTATTATACAGAAATACAATTTAAGGTATGTGTTATAGAAGAAGAAAGAAACGTCAACGAGTTGTGGACACCAGCAGTCCGAGTCCATAACAGAGGCAAACTCTTTGCTTTCATAAGAGGAGTGTTCTCAAACGCTTAAAGTAGCCTTATCACACTTACACTATACTTTCAAACGGTATGGTGGTTCGAGAAGTAGTTGAAGGAGGGGGGAGAGAGACGACAGAGTTGTTCCCCATGTAATAACTGCTGGCTTCCACAGATGCCACAGATGTGCATTTCTGAACTTGATCAAGCATGGAAGCCAGTGTGTCGACGGAATGTCGTTGTCACCAATCAAAGAATCGAACTGTTACACTGTCTTGAAGACGCAGAATGAAAACCGTGGAGGCGGGAAAATTTGTAAAAACAACGGTCAGAATCAAAAGGTCATTCCCATCGAATGTGACGACAAAAAATATTTTTTCTGCCAGACGAAAGGTAAGAAGTTTCACTGAATCTACAGAATATAAAATAGGCACATATTATTATCTATCTATCTATCTATCTATCTATCTATCTATCTATCTATCTATCTATCTATTGGTTTGTCTGTATATCTAACTGTCTGCCATATGTGAGCATGTTTGTGCGCACGTGTTTGCATAATAATGTGTGCTGTGTGTAAATAATCGTTTTACAAAAACTATTTTACCCCCCACCCACCTACCCCCAAAGGAGAGAACTTTTGTGATTTTGGAAGCGGGCTGCTCTGACGTTGCCTTTCGAAGGCTGTTCTGTGTCTGGTGTTTACACTCCAAGATGCAGACTGAGATACTCGATACCTTCCCTACCAGAGAATCAAACCCCACATCTGTTTAACAACTTGACAATGATCCTCACTGACGTGTGGGTGCGTGGGTGTGTTTGTTGTGTGTGTGTGGATGTGTGTGTGTGTGTGTGTGTGTGTGTGTCTGTTTGTGAGTGTGTGTGTGTGTGTTCACCCGTGTGTGTATTCGAATATGTATGTGAGCGTTTTTATATGTGGAAGAGGGAGAGAGAGGGAGAGAGAGAGAGAGAGAGAGAGAGAGAGAGAGAGAGAGAGAGAGAGAGAGAGAGAGAGAGAGAGAGGGGGGGGGGGACAGAGGGCATCTCTCCCTGTTTATATATTATAAATCATAGATACATATTTAAAAAAAAACTATACACTATACATTATATTATACTTGCAGATAGATAGATAGATAGATAGATAGATAGATAGAGAGAGACAAAGAAAAGATAGATAGATAGATAGATAGATAGATAGATAGATAGATAGATAGATAGATAGATAGATAGATATGTGTGTGTGCGTATGCGTGTGTGTGTGTGTGTGTGTGTGTGTGTGCGCGCGTGTGTGTATGTGTGTGTGTGTGCGTGCGTGCGTGCCAGTATGTATTTTGATATCTGGCAATCTATTTAGCCATCTGTTGACCGATCTATAGCATACTCCAAGTCTATTTCTCAACTTACAATACATCCACTTGTCAACACATCTACCTACATACTT